TAAACATGTCAAAGCAAACGTTCCTTACCATTTAGCATTAGCCAAGTTGCTTTGTAGGGTGACAAGATACAAGTAGTAACTAGAAGATAAAGATCTTGGTTGCATTAAGAATTTGCTGGAGTGAGCAGTATAATAGGAAATATAGATTAAAGGGTGAACGGTTAATGCAGTATATGAAAAAAATTGCTTTGTTCTGAGAAAGACCTTTTTATTGAGAAACTTTCCTGAAGTGAATGATAGAGAAATCATGATGGTGAGGAGGCATCTGAATTCAATTATTTGTAGGTTCTGTTAGAATGCAGAACTTTGGTACAATCCAAATGTATTTTCTTTGTGATCTTACCAGTGCATATAAAACTATTAAAGGCTGGTCAATTATCTCCCTATTGGCAGTTTACATTCACCTTATTTAATAATTACAGATCCAAGTCAACCCTCTGGATCTGCTACAAGATACCACTGTGAATTGGGATAAGCCCAACTTTTTATCTAATCTAAGGTAAGTAATACTGTCGTTTGCTACTGGAGTGGTGCCATCATGCGCATTGCACAGATGCCAAACGTGCAATAAAATTCTACTGATTTCACAGCGGTGGCAGCAGTCCTCCTGGAACATGTTTTTATATTGCGAGCATAGGCATCGATGTATAAGGAGCCCGAGAACATCGGGCATTGTCTAAGCATATACAGTCACCCATCAATCTCCTTGTCCATGTGTGCATGAAACTCTTTGTCTTCACTTCTGTCTCTTTTATAGGTGGTGTGAGGGGTCAGGGAATGCTGATGCTTCACACTTAAACATCTCCAAAAGATACTGTACGAAATCCCACAGCAAAAACGCATCTTAGGTAGCATAAGTTATATTCCTTGGAAAGATGCACAGAATATATTTTACACTTCTGTGGTTTACAAATCTGTTCACACATGTACAACTATACACATTACTGAAAGTCAACACAAGTCTTTCATATTCTGCATCTTACCATGCTCTGTAGATCCACGGTCTCTTCCAGTTTTACCACAAACGTCATTGACATAAAGCACACTGAGACTGCAGCCACACAGCAATCATTGGTATGAATGATTCAGTACTTTAGTTAAACCTTTGTATTCAGCAGAATAAAGGTTATATTAAAGAGGACTGTTTCACATGGTGATAGAGGACTATATTCCACACAAATAAAAAAGTCAAATCTGACTGACCACTGCGATATTTTTCACTTTGCTGATTCATTACAGAACAAGTGGATTAATCTCAGTTTATCCTGATTCTAAAGAAGAGCCTTGTGCATAGCCAGTGTGTTTCTGCAGCAGACAAGACCCATTCGAGATTACACAACAGTGCCACGTGAAAGAGATACAATATTACGTCTATGTTCTGTGAAAAGCCAGACAGTTTTCAGCTCTTGGGACTTGCGCTTGACCAATTGTTCTGCTTGAGAAGTCTTACAACAATTGATTACACGCTCCATCCCACTTGCTGAAAGCAGAATGGTTCTTTCCAGAACACAGTTGTGAAATTCAGAGTTGAAAATGAGCGGCTACTTCAGTGTCAACGTGACAGGTTATTCGGTCTGGCAAATTCTAGTGTAAAAACTAAAATAGCCACTGCTGCACTTTCAACTTTATACTTTGTGTTGTGAGTTGCTGAATCTTTACAGCATTTTAATAATTATAATAATCCCTGCATTTAATACAGCGCCTTATCACGTCATCAAGATGTTTCAAAGCACTTCACAGGATATACTGAAGGTCTAGTTATTTATAGGAATTGTTCAGCTATCCCACAATGTCACGAGTTATTAGCCCTTAGATTTTCACATGTGACTATCATTTTGAGTGTGCTTTATTTTAAGTGCTATTTTGCTTTCTTGTTAAGGTTACATTTTTTTTCCTGCATTCCATGTCACCCCTCTAACAATGGGAATCAACTTTGCTGTCCTCCTCTGCAATCAACAACAACGACAACAACAACTTGCATTTATATAGCGCCCACCACGCAGAGTAGCGGCTCAGAGAGCTTAACAGTGGCAAAGTTCTTCAGAGCACACGCACATAAGTAAAGCTCCTCTTTCCTTGCACTCAGCTCAGTCTTAGATCATTCTGAAACCAGCAGTACAACTCAAGTCTGCCGGCTCTCCCTGCATTGCTAACATCGAGTCGAACTGGTGCCTGAAATATAACCATCATACAAGGTTCAGTAGTGCAATCTAATATTCTGTGGCAGATGTTGAAAGGGAAAAGAAAAAGTTCTGCCAAATGTGTACAATTAAAACAATCAACAATATCCCAAGGTATTGCAAATAGTGTACCATTACGTGGGACAAGCAGTAATCTCAGCTCATCATTATTTAGAAAGACGCTATTGATTTTGATGATACTCCTACTTTTATTGGAGAGAAATGAGCAAATACGATATCTTTAAGAATTGTATTGCATTGAATTAATTGCTGATATACCTATATAATCATTCCTCCAGCTAAATGGACCACTATAATAATAATCCTTGCATTTGATATAGCGCCTTATCACGTCTTCAAGACTGTGATCTCTTCTGGTCCTGTGCAATCCTCCGTTTGCGTTTTGGTGAATTTATATGCCGTTTGAGAAGAAAGAAGCCTTTTATAGATATTTTTAAAAAAGCACGACCACGACTTTAGCAGAAAGAATGATATGACTAAATGACTCTTTCAGAATGTTAGTATTGTTTTTTTAACAATCATTCAGGTCCCGTGGATAAAGCAAGACTAGCAGATAAAACCCGTAGCTAAAACTGGAAACTAAAATCTGGTGCCAGTTTCCGCAAACAACTTTACACTTCAATTGCTTTACAAAGCCAGAGCTAAAGCGCGGTGATCCGTGAGTGCGTGTCTGACGTTTCGTCAGCCATGACTCATTTACATCTCAAACATCACAATCAAGCAGAAAATTACAGAATGAACAAATAAAGACGACATTACTCAGATTGCAGTATCCTTTGTAATTAGTTTTAGTGTCACTGCAATAGTTCCATCTTGAAATTCCGTCCTGGTGTGCATGTTACGTGGAACGGATGATGCGCACTAACAAAGTTATAAAAATCGGCAGCGCCCATTGCACTCTCCCACCGAACCCCCTCCACACCCCCAAATCAAATTATGTGGTGTTGTTCAGTTTGATTATTTGAAGCTTTTTTTTATTTATAAACAAAAGTTTTCCTGTGGACATGACCAACGCACACCACACAATTTACTTTGCAGTTTCCCCTCAGTAGCGAAAAGGGCACAAAGACATGGTTCACTGGTTTCAAAACACTAACCCCCACAACCACCTCCTCCCCGCCACCCCAAAAAATCCTGCATTTAAATTACATTATTATGCTCTCCTGGCTTTTAAGGGCTTCTCGGCATTCCAAATGTTTGGAGCTTTGATCGATGAACAAAAAAAATCATTCAGTGTTTTTCAAAGTTCATCAACATATTCTGCAGAGTTTCCTCGAACTTTAAAGGCTAATAAAATTCAGGAACTGACACTATGTTTGCTTGTAGCTGGCAAGTCACCTCAAAGTTATTTGACATTCTAGAATTTAGAATTGGGAATGGTAGGTTTTTGACCAACAATGTATTTGTTTCTGTTTTTTTTAAAAAAAAGGCTACAAAGGCCTGATATGCGATTTAGCTCAATCTTCAAATGTATTTTACAAGCTAAAACAAGGTAGAATGTTTGGCTTCAGACAAGTACAATGCATAGCTGAAAAAAAATGCTTCATTGGTGCTCAAATCCTCACATCGGTATTAAGAAACTATGCTATTCTGAAGTAATTAGCTCTCTATTATCCTCTCTCCAACCCCTCTTCCTCTCATTAAAACATGCTGGTAAGTTAAGTGGTAATTGTGTTACCCTGAGAATCACTAATTATTCCAAAAGAAAGTCCAAACAGAGCACAAATATCACCTTTAAACCTTACCAGCTCCCTGCACACCATTTGACATCTCACATTAGAAGCTAAACTGCGAGAGAGCTTTGATCCTAGTTGGAACAGACTGCAGAATTTGCAGCACATTATACAATATGGAAAAAAGGTTGGGTTGAGCAACCTGATAGAACTACAAGCAACTTCTGACGAGATTCAGCAAACCACGTACACGGAAAGTCAAACAATGACAATTAAATTAATCCATCATTCTACTGTTTACAGCAAAAACCACTGCACAAGAAATTCTGTCACTATTGTGATCTGCCGTCTTCATTTGTGAAGAGAAACTGCTCCAAGCAAGAGAGAACCAAAGGCAAATTGTTGTGTAAGCAAGTTCTTTTTCTCAACTTTTGGTCAGATTTTAATCACTTGCATTTCAATATTATTTAGATGTGGTTGGTTAACATTTACAATTGGTGATGCAGTTTCATCTTTAGGCACTCATAAAATGGCAAAGGATCCCAAAATCTCAAGCATGTCAGCCTTCATTGATTGAAAAAGAAAATCAAAAAAGCGTAAAATAATACAATTTAAAGTCAAACTAAAATGCACCAAATAGGGTGGTACATTTTTTTTTACCCGATTAAGATTTCTCCGAATGCTATGAAGTCCACTGAATAATGAACTCCGTTCTCACTTAAACCTCCCCATATATGGTGAGCCCACAGAATTCAAGCAGTCATCATCCAAGCTACTCTTGGTAATGGAACAACCAGCTTTGGATGCAAATGGATTGAAAACAGATTTTCTAAAAGCATGAGTATGATACAAACTGGAAAGGCAAAAGAGAAAATATTGAAGCTTGTGCTACTATCCAGCGCCTTAGGACGTCCTCCCAATGTGAAAGACGCTATACAATGTAATCTTGTTGTTTTCTATATAAGATCAAAGTGAATTCTCCAATAAACAGTAATCATAATTGGCTCAAGACAAACCAATTTGCGCATAAGCAACAAGGGCAAGCAATACCTGCCATGCAACATGTTAATTCAGCAATTGTTAATGAAGCAGAGATCAAAAATGTATTTCTCCCAGTGGAGAGAACTTACCTAGCTGGACATCTACAACATTTAGTTGATTTTCAAGAGGGAACAGGAGCTGAGGAACCTTGTCTGTAAGTACAGCTGAAAGACACAAGAAAATGCACAGATTAGGCCATATAATGGGACACTTTATAGAAAGTGTGCATGTTATATATAAACGAGATGCATCACGTTGCTTCACATGTCTGAAGCAAATCTTGTTTGTCACTTAATGACACTTTGAATCAAGTGTTTGTGGTAACTGATGAAAATCTCAGCATAAGAATGCTTTATGTGAGAGGAAAGAAGGGCATCAGCAAACTAGCAACACAAAGGCTTAACTCAGATACACTGACTGAAGGATAGTTCCATAGCCTAAGTGGATATTTTCTTAGCATTTCTGTATTTAGGAGACTTGATGCATACACAAGGGGTAGAGAATAAAGATGTATCGAGGAGGGGAGAGACTCATGTAGTGTATAAACACTGGCGGAGACTCTTTTATGGTGCAATGTTTTATGAACTTCTATCTAATTTAGAATTTCCAGAATTTGGCAAATTGTTGAAATCAGTTTTAACTTTGGTTCGGTAGTTTTTGAAAGAAAGTATCCAAAATGGCTTCAAAATTAAATCTGCATTTCACAATTTGCCAATTTGAGACTGAAGTGACATTTCAATCCCTACCCAATTCAACGAAAACAGTTAAACAAACAAGAATTTCCACAAAAAATAACTTCAACATTTTTTATATGGAAAGAAAAAGTTGAAACGAAACCCAACTCTGTCAACATAGAGTTAAAAAGTAGCATTGAAAAAAAAATCAATTTACCAAAAAGTAAATGACCTATTTTGATATGACATGAGGTTGCTAAGCAACATTGCAGGCTCACCAAAAGCTGGCACGATGCCAGGTTGTTAAACATTGTAAATAACTATCTGGACTCTCTTGTTCTTTTGTGTCATGTCAAGCACACTATTAAAATGATGCAATTTACAACTCAAGTTAATGAAAGTGACATGAGGATGAGCGTGCGTGTGCACAGAAGACTCATCCACGTTTCTGCTGGGTGGATCTCGGTGCGATTTGGTGTGAAAATATGTTGCAGGTCCCATTTCTTAAGCTACACCACAGAAGAGAAGGAAAGTGAAAGGAAAAGAAACGGGGAGATCATCTGTACCGCCCGCGGCTACTAACGGAGTGCCACTGGTGGCATTCGTAGTAAACTTATCTGTAACGCCTCAGTCTTGACTGGGGGAGAGGCATCGAGGCAAGCAATAGGGCTCAAGGGTAAAATTAAATGCACTTTTTCCCCCCACCCCTTCATTCCCCAAAGTGAAACAACCACATCTGAAATATACCAAGTTCACTCAGCACAAATGGTCTAGCTCTTGTTTTCCATTGCAAGCTGGTGCTCTGTGACACAGCAAGTCAAACCTTGCATTTTACAGCAACTTGGGGGCAGCTTTGCCTTCCTGCAATGTATTCTGTACAGAGGATATCAGCATTACCAGCGTATGCTCTGCAACTGTCATATATAAAATCAGTGATCGATCACAGGACCTTCCTTTCTGCTTGGAAGGTTTCACACAAGATCACCCGAGCCATCGAGAGAGCCTGGTTCGTAACATTTTGTCATCAAATCGTTTCGTCTATTCATATACAGTGCGTGACAATATTTTATTCATACGAACAGTGTATAATAAATGATTTATGTTTTAGAAGGATCACGGTTCCACTAAACTCAGAGTCAATCTGCAATCCCAAACCACTGAGATATTACAGCAGAATCTGGAATATATATGGCGAAAACGTTACTTGAATGAACAGCAATTGCTGCAAACTAAATCCACCGAATTTATCAGAAGTGATGAGGTCGTACATGTGGCAATTTCTAACAGGATTCCCGATTAGGGAAACAAAGTAGGTCACTCCGACTTACAGGAACTCAGCTCCGGCAATTTATTTTCAGAGCAGAATTCCAAAGTGGCTGTGTGATGTACGTCAGGTTGCCAAGAAGAGATCCCATTCCTTACCAAGGAATCCTAATAGTTTTCACCACATATTGGACACCAACTTGTCCATATGAATTGATCAAAATTGTTTGGTTTGTTTATCAAATAAACAGACAATTTACTGGTCTCTTCATTCTATTTTTATTTCCACTTTAGGAAAGACAAGATAATGTCCCCATTAAATCATCTTTGGCCATCCATCCATATTATTGTGCAAAAAATGACACCAAAATTGCCCCCTCACTTTTCAATCAATGCGAGTTCAACACAGTTATTATCTGTCGTCAACACTATTCTCATTTGATTAAAGCTGCAGTTTAGATTACAAAACAATTATAGATGATAGATTGATATTAAGATGTAATTTCATTTTAGGGTTGAGATGATTAAACACTGCAGCTTTGCTCTCAGGTGTGTAACGTTATCTGAACCCCAAGAGTAAGTAGCTTTATCACCCATTTCTAGCTACTCATCGGTCTACATATTTCTATGGGGAATTCTTGCTTTCAGATATTTTTCCTGTTACAATTCCTGCTTCAAATGGCTTTTTAATTGTAGTGTTGTTTTCAATTGGTGTCCCCAATGGGAACAGCTACTGAGTAGAAGGAGGAGGGGTAGGAGGTGTTAGTATGGTGTGTATTAATCTTCATTGTCTATTGGCAAAGCGATTCTTCCCACCTTCGTCAATCCAATTCATTTCACGAGAATATCTTTGATGAACAAAAGGATGATAAATCCGAAGGAGGAAACCATCAGACCGTTTGGCTTCTCTGTTTACTGAAAAAGCGAGTTTTCCTCTCCCCTTCCGATAACCTTCACTTCATTCTGAGACAATTTCACTTTACGAGAATCTTTTCTATATATATATGTATTATATCTTTCTTCTGAGTTTACTTTAAATTTTTCTTTTCAATTGAAGAAAAATGTAGAACAAAAGTGACGAATGAAACAAGAGCTCCTCGTCCATCTTTGTGGGACAGCTGGTGATTTAGAATGCAAATGAAAGCCATCATTCTTGTCAACCTCAGCTCAAAAAAAACATGGGAGCACTGTCCACAGTTAATTAATATTCCAAAACCAATCAGCCCACTGCTGCTCTGGTAAAGTTTTTTTCTTTGAATCCTACAGCACGTGGGAATTACCAGTATATTAATCTCCTCTCCTTTAAAAATTCCCCCCAAAATCCAAATTCACTTATCTGACCTCGTAGAAAATGTTTGCAGAAGTCGTTCCTGGAAATAGTTATTTGTAGAAGCTGCCTGCCTACGGGCTTTTTATTGAAAGATAGTCTCCTCAAAAAATCATAGACCATTCTCATTGTAAAGTTTGACCTTAAATTTACTACTTATGTAGCAAAGATGTTTCAAAAGCCTCATTTCTAATAAAACTGAACTCATGATAAATGGCTCTGCATTTGGTTTTGACTTCTGCAGGAGACTTTACAACACCGGATAACAAATGAAGTCATTTTCAAGATAAATGGCAACAAAACCTCCAGTAGGAAATATTGCTTCTTTCTTTAAGCTCACTCTGTTACAATGCACGTTTTAAAATGAAGGCTGCTTCAGGTTCTGGACTCCATGAAACAATCATAAACTGTAACCTTAAAAGCAAATCAATCAATGATTATTACCGTTTAGCCATCATTTAAGTGGCAAACTAGTTGTCATTACAACAAGGAAATAGTGTTAAACGTCTGTGCTCTTGGCTTTGCAAGTTTAATTCAACCAATTTGGTTTCTACCCTGGAAACCCTTGAGAATTTATTTTTTTTCTTACACTCCCCTTCAGTTTTACAGTAAGTGAATATTTTGCATCACATTATAGGGGGTAATTTGCAACGTTCCTTTGCTGCGGTAGGAGTGTTCAGCCATGTCCACAACACCAGAGAGATCTGCTGGAACTGGAGTAATTACTTTTGAAATTTAGGTCTTAAAATCCTTTCACGTTATCAAATGCATCAACCGAGAATCCTTTTGATTCAACTACTTCTCCAAGATTAAAGGCAGCACTTTCAAACTACCCGATTGTTCAAAGGGTTTTGAATGTTATTCACTCGATTATGCAGTATTCACAAGAGCATCTAATAAACTTTAGCCAAAATGTGGAAAGTTGGGCAATCTTTGATGCTCTGAAAAGCTAAGAAAATCAAGTCAATCGAGACCCTCAAATGAGGTCAAATCAGGTGTCATTCCTGACTCTTGCTTGAGTCATAGGGTTTAGGTTTAGCCCAAGTTGGAACTTTGAGCTCTCCAGTCTGACATACTGGAACATAAGAACATAAGAATTTGATGGCGAAAGAAGGAAGACCAAGGTCCATCTAGTTCACCTTCCACCATCCTGGCAGTCGCTTGACATGTCATGACTCTACACTGTATCCCGGGACTGACTCTGTCAGAGGCGCTGCATTGCCAGAGGTGCTGTCCTTCAGATGAAGAGATCTCAAATACCTAATGGGCATTAAAGATCTTGTAATGCGCATCTGGTATCCAAAAGCTATTCAGGCACTAATTAGAAGATAAGGGAGATTCTCCTGAGGTCCACGGCAACAATCGTCCAGGTAAAATTAGTCACCTTTGAATTTCAGATTGAGTTGTAAACATGTGAAATAGCAACACACCAGAAAGAGAAAGCAGAGACCAGTCCCACTGTTAATCACTTGGGTGTCTTTCTCCTTTGGCATGCAGTGACCAAACCACTGCAAACAAACTGGGATTCATTTGACTACTCTGCAGGGTAGGGTACCTAAACATTTCAGTGGCCTTCAGATAGCAGCAAGTGGAAACCAAATCTAAAGTGAAACTGAGAGAGAAAGAGAGAGACAACCCACAATTTACAGGACAATCCGTGTCTGCATGCAGAGATCTGTTCTCTCCTGATCTGGAATAGGAGTGGGGCAGTACAACTCAAACTGCTGTCAAACTGCTAGGTGCAGTGTAACATTGCCATTAGTGAGACCACCAGATTTTTTTTGAAAAAGGATAAACACATATTTTTTTTCTTTCCTGTTTCGCACTCCGCAGCTGTCAGCAAGATTGGCGTTCATCTGCCTCCATCAATTTTCCTCCCTGCTCTGATTCCTATCCTAAC